CTTTTGATTTCCTTGAAAAACTTTTTTGGGTTGAGCAATCTACTATTTTCTTGATTTTTTAATATTTGCTTTCAATTCTATGGAAGCTATATATTTATTGAGATGTTTGATGGTGAAGTACAGAGAGAGTAAGGAGGATCTACATTTGATTTATGCTTATTTAGAAAAGAAAATATCATATAGTCCCAAGAGAAGTACTTTGGAGAGTTCTAAAAATAATGTGTTGATATTGCTTATATTCAAATCATTAAAGATATGCATACTAGAACTATTATTTATGTTTGAATGGCGGATTGACCAAGTATTTTCTTATTTTAGTTGGATTATATCAAGGGTCGACTTTAAGCCCTTATCCTTTTGGTTTAGTTATGGATGTTTTTACTAGACATTTATGAGAGGATGTACCTTGGTGTATGCTTTTTGCCAGCGATATCTTTCCTATGGATAAGATTAGAGAGAGAGTTCAATAAAAATTTGAATTTATGAAGGTCAAATTTAGATTCTAAAGGGTTTCGTTTGAGTAGAATTAAAACTGAATATATAGAATGTAATTTTAGTAATAGTACATCTAGTGATGAGATTGTAACAATGGGCGATCAAGTCAGTAAAAGAACTAAACGTTCTAGATATTTCTGGTCTATTATTCAATGTGATGGAATATTGATGAGGATATTATTAGTAGAATTCAAGTTGGATGTTTTAAGTGGAGGAATGCATCAGGCCTATTGTGTGATAGAAAATTACCACTTAAACTGGAAAATTTTGTAAATTTGTGGTGAGACTTGCAATGCTTTATGGCTTAGAATCTTGGCCTATAAAAGAGAAGCATAAAATTAAGTTAAGTGTTGCTAAGATGAGAATGCTCAGGAGGATGAGTGGCTTTACACTTATAGACAAAATGCAAAATGAATATATTTCAGAAAAGGTCGGAGTAGCTCCAGTGGCAGACAAGATTAGAGAAAGTCGCCTTAAATGATTTGTTCATATTAAATGTCGACCATCTATTGTCTCACTTAGGAGAATAGATCTTTTAGATTTGACTTATGTTAAGGAAGAGGTAGACCTGAAAAGACTTGGGCATGTTGTATAAAAAATGATATTGATTTATTAGAATTAAATAAAAATATGACACTCAATAGGACAAAATGGAGTAAAAGGATTCATGTAGCCGACCCCACATAGTGGGATAAAGGCTTCTAGTTGTTGTTGTTGTTGTTTTCAACTCTACATTATACATAACAAAATTAAGAAAGATGACTTCAAGTTGGCAGAACAAACATTTTATGTGGTTCTTATAAAACTTCGCTTCTCTTTTTTTCTTTTTGGTCTAGTACCAATCTTAGATAATCTAAGGATGTTTTCTCATCTGTGCTGGAGATAATAAAATCATCATAATGCACTACCAGAAGCTTGCCAATGAGAGGTTTTAGAACAATGTTTATTAATTTCATGAATGTGTTGAGGGTATTTGATAAACCAAAAGTCATTACCAACCATTGATAGAGATAATTTGGTGTTTTGAATGCCATTTTTTTGTTCATCTCTTAGTTTCATCTTAATTTGATGGTTAGGTATTAACAACGCTCTATGTGATTGCTTGAGCCCATAAATAGCTTCCTCGAGTTTGCATTGCTAGATGTTTGTTGGAATTGTTTTTAAGTCTTGGTGATATCTCCATATACACTTCTTCCAAATCTCAATTTAGTAAAATATTTTTTATATCAAATTAATGTATTCCCAATTCATTGTTAATTACTACTGAAAGGAGAACTCTGATAGTATTAATTTTGGCAAATGATGCGAAGGTCTCTTGATAGTCGATCATATAGGCTTGAGTGAACATTTTCACAACAAGTCTGACTTTGAATCTCTCAATACGCCCATCAGCTTTGTATTTGATATTGAACACTTATTTGTACCCAATCAACCTCTTATCCTGAGGAAGTTTAGGAATAATCCATGTATTATTAAGCTTTAGTGCTCGAATATCTTCTTTAATTGCTCTCCTCTCAATAGCTTTATGAATGGATTTAGGAATTTTACAAGCTTGATGTGCTATTTTGAATTGCCTCCAAAGAGTTCATTTAGGAGTTAAGGAGTCATTTGCACAGGATTTCTGATTTTTTATTCATAATTAACCTCGAAAGGGGAACTTGATGTTTTCATCCCATAATTGGTCATAAACCTTATGCATATTTAGAGCTGCTGTTAATTGAAAGAAGGGGGTTGTCTATGTCTTCTGCAATTATGGGAATGGTTGTTGCAGGAAAGAAGGAAAATTAGCTGCCGATAGTGTCATTGTTGTTGTCATAGGATAGAAGAATTCTAATGAAAAAAGGGCTTGCAGGGAGAATCCGGTGGAGGGTATGCTACTAGGACGATTCTGGTGCCAGATATTAAACAACTGAGATCCTGTAAGGAGAATTCTGGTATCAAGAAAAAGAGGAGGGGCTTCGTAGGAGGGCTTGTAGATCGACTGATGGGATTCTGACCGAGTAGGGCCTGCAGTAGGACTGCTTCCGATTGCAGGGAGAGTTCCAGTGGTAGAGAAGTACAAAGGAGGACCTGTAGGGAGAATTCTTGCTAAAGGTACAACAGGATGAATTTCTGCTGCAGGGAAGAGCCAAGGGCCTGCAGGAGGAAATTCGACTGCGGCGAAGCGTGGTTGAACGGAAGGAAGAAGGAAAGAATAATGCAATTTTCGGGTCTCTGCACATTACAATTATGTCACTGGAGAAAACCTGAGTTTTGCATCTCTACATGCTGCAATCCCATTGCTGGAAATGTCGTTCAAAGAAAACCATTCGAGGTGCAGATGATGTGCACGAGATGCAAAGGTCTTTGTCAGATTCTGCAACTCACTGGATGTGGTTGTCGAGTTAGCAAGTAGACGAGGAGGATTGAGTCGGGTACTTTGACTCGTTGGATGAAGTCATCAAGGCAGCAAGAAGAAGAGGAGGATCACATTAACCCCTTGATCTGCGACTGTGATCGGGAACTAAACGAAAGAGAATCTAGGGTTACGTCCTTGATAACATGTAGAAATTGCTTAGGAAGGAAAAAATAATCCACTTCATTATTCATATGTTGGGTACATATAGTTTGGTAACCCAATCCCTTCTAATTTACAAACATACCAAATATATCTAGTCTAAATTTTGAAATGAAACAATTCTGAAATAAAAAAAAAAATAGAAAACATAATTAGGAACAAAACAAAACTAAGGACTTTCCCAAGTTATCTCTCAATTCAATCTTCCATGATAGGTAGGTGGCTGGTTGGCCCACCCAAGGAGATGGCCAATTACTTCTGATTTTCCACATATACATTTGCATATATGTCTTAAAGCTCATATATGTGGCAGCTTATGTCATATTTCGAGATAAATTATAGTTAAAACAAATTTGCTTTGAGTGGGCCATCTTCGCGTTGGAAGACATTATTTTTTATTTCAAGCTCGGTAAAATGCAAATGATTATCAAGTGAGTTGTAGATATTTTACAACATTTCTTACCTAATTTTGAGTACGGATTACATGGCGCAATAGTTTTCATGCAACATACAACTTGATTTGGATTGCATAGTGTCGTAGTCTTTGCACCTTGTACGACCTTATTACTTCATTTGTCATTCTTTTACTACTCCGTAAAATTGCTTTGTACATTATTAACGTGTTTATTTAATACAATTCATTTTTCATTTTCTTTTTATCTCTTAAATTCTTGTCGGATGCCTTAGTTATGGATGGTCTTAGTGGACATTTACAGGAGAATGTACCTTGGTGTATGCTTTTTGCTGATGATATCCTTCTCGTGGATAAGACGAGTAAAAAATTCCAGGAAAAACTTGAATTATGGAGGTCTACGTTGGAGTCTAAAGGCCTTCATTTGAGTAGAACTAAAACTGAATAAATGGAATTTAATTTTGTAGTAGTAGCTCTAGTGACAGAAGCGTAACATTGGGTGATCAAATTATTAAAAGGTGTGAACGATTTAGATATCTCGGGCCTGTTGTTCAAAACAATGATGATATAGATGAGAATGTTAATAGTAGAATTCAAGTTGGTTGGTTTAAGTGGAGGAATGCTTTGGGCCTTTTGCGTGATAGAAAAGTTCCTCTTAGACAAAGGAAAATTTTATAAGACAGTGGTGAGACCTGCAATGCTCTATGGCGCTGAATGTTGGCCTTTAAAAGAGAAGCATAATATTAAGTTGTGTTGCTGAGATGAGAATGATTAGGTGGATGAGTGGCTTTACACTTAGAGAGAATGAGAAATTAATATATCCGTGATAGGGTTGCTGTAGCTTTTGTGACGGACAAAATTCGAGAAAGTCGTCTTAGATGGTTTGATCACATTAAGCGTTGACCATCTGATGATCTTATTAGGAGAGTAGACGTTTTAGATTCGACTTATGTTAAGAAAGGCAGAGGTAGACCTAGGAAGACTTGGGCTTATTGTAAAAAAAATTATCTTAATTTATTAGAACTAAACGAAAAAATGACAATAAATAGGACGCAATGGAGAAAAAGAATTCATGTAGCCGACCCCACGTAGTGGGATTAAGACTTTGTTGTTGTTGTTGTTGTTAAATTCTTGGCAGAATTTATCTCATGTTACAGAGCTTTATTAGATTTAGATTGCTGGATATGGCGATGTATTTACCTTCATTTTTGCCATTCTCAGTTCGTGCCTGTTAAATCTTAGGTGGAACTCCTAAATGTAACATAAATTAGAATCAAAATATACAATTTGTCCTTCAGCTATTGCATGATGAGATGAATATGTTAGTATTACTTCAGCTATTACCTCAATAAATTGTATGATACTTATCGGTTATACAAGTATTTTTTTTTCCTGCTTTTGTTGCTTTATTGGGGATCACCAGTCAAAAGTTTTTGGACATTTTTTTCATAGATGCATACTATACTATTTTGATTAGTTTGCACAGTTTTTGTTGGCTTTTTTTAATAAGTTTCGTTTTCGGGTTACATTCTACAGGAAGTTTGGAGGATTAAATCGGAACACAGTGATGACCCTCAAGCAATATTAAACGACAGAGTAAAGGGACAACTAAAGGTTACTAGAGCATTTGGAGCTGGGTTTCTTAAGAAGGTCAGGGAACGTAGTAACAAAAGTAACTATCTTACAGTCCATGAAATGGTTTCAGCATAAAATATGGGTTGCTTATATGCCATCAAATTCTTCGTTAATTACATATTATACTCTTACATATTGTTATTTTATTGTTAAAATTCAGTTCTTATAAATACTACCAAATTATCATCCCAACTATGAAACCTCGCGACGGAGCCAGAAGTTTTTTAAATCAGGGGCACAATTTTTTAAAGAAGTTCTCTCATTATTTTTCATCCAAACTTAGGACTGGTATTGGTAATTTTTAAAAAAAAAATGTTGCGATATGTTAATGTATAAAAATAAAATGTATGATGATCTAAAAGACTTACAGCTTATAATGTCTTAAGAAAAATCTGTGAACATTTGTTTTCTTAAAAATTCATATATCCTAGATTATGGTTAAGATGATATCGACAATTAATTATTTGTAATTTGAGGGATCTATTTTGAAACACATGTGATGCTTTTATAATATTTTGTTTGGTGATTTTGAATCAAACTTCCACCTGCCGTGGCCGAAGATTAAACTGCTTTGCTTGAGGAGTCTTGTATTGCTGAAACATTAATCCAACAAAGAAACATATGATATTTTTTATACGCCACAATTTCTTAGCAATTAATGCCTGATTTACTACCTTCTTCCTCTGAAATCTCTCTATCCATGGGATTTAAGTAGGCTGTAAGCTTATCGATATAAGGATGTTGTGCTCCTTGAAGCTCTCTTCCAGGAAGGCATATTGTCCATCAGAGAAACATTGCTTTTTTCTCACCCTACCATTCTCCTTATGTCGATGTATATTGATGATGGCCTTCAGTCAAAGAAATTCATTTGGCTTGAGGATGTCTGGCTTGTTGCAGTCGTCATCTAGTTCACGTCAAACATTCTCGTTAGAACATCCGAGCCCACTTTGTTGTTACAAAAAAAATATAATAAGAAATTAAATCAAAATAAAATTAACTAAAATCCATATTTTTGTTACTTGACCAATAACATGTAATTAAAAAAATACCACCCAATTCCTATGTATTTACATATCTAACGCCTAACTTTTAATTTTTACATTTATACCACCCATATCATTCATATCACACAAAAATACCATTTTAACTTTTAAAAAGTGAATTGCACCTTGTCATGCGTAGGCAAGATGATATGTATGTAAAAATTGAAGTTTAGGTGTTAGATAAATAAATACATAGGATTTGAGTGGTATGCATATAAATCTTCATTAAAAAAGCATTTTATTTTGTAATATTCTCCATCTCCCGTGATAATGTTGGCATATGGTGGACGGAAGGGAAGAGGTTAAGCAAGCTCCAAGGAGTTCGACAACAATACATTGCGGTGCATGTGAATTCAGGCAAGAGAGTCGGACGACAGGGCTGGAGCGTGGAATGTGCCACCTCGGGCCTACCCTCAAATCCACTGGTGAGACATATGAGTAGTTTCACATGTCAGGTGGCTACAAGGATGAGACAAATCCCGAGCTAATTTGGACTATCAATAAGCCTTAGCTCAAATCCTAAGTATTATTCCAAGCCCTTCCAGCTTGATCTCATAGATGAGTTTCCACCAAAGAGTAGCGGGTTGGATCTGATCATTGTATTGTATCTTTTACGCCTTGATGATTACATTTTCTTAATTTTTGACAAGTCTTGAAGCATTCAAAGAATTTATGCGTAAAAATTATGCAAAATGAATAATATGATGGGATTTCTTTAAATTTAAAACTTTGTAAATATGTACAAATTGTTGAGTGTTATTATCCACTTGTAAAAATTTTTCAGATATAGAATTCAAGGATTATAGAGCGGATTGATTGATATAATAATATAACTGGATATGCAAGAATGCTATTTGGATTGATGTGGTTAGTGGCTTCATAGAAGAGTCAAAATAAGGTGATCATTTTAGCATACACATTAAGAAATCATTGATAGAATAGGTCCATCTTGTGAAAATTTTGGCATAGATTGCTTTTGTAGATAGTTTTATAATAATATTTAGGCATAATTTCGTTGAATCAACTAGGTCAAAAGAAGTTTAACTAAATGGTCATTGAGGTTGACCATTTACTAATTTTGATGTTAACAAATCTATTATGTAACGTTTACAATCTCATGTCTTCTTTTTAAACATCATTCATATCAATGGTATTATCATTTGGGTCATCTCTTATGCCAAGATTTTAAAGAGTACCTTCGTACTTCTCCTCGCTCTTTAAGTTTGAATATAATATTTGTTGTAGAAATTACTTGGGGAGGAAAATTCCTTGATTCATTATTCACAATTAGGGTACTATATACAGGGAAACCAATCCCTTCATTCATCATTCACAATTAGGGCACATATATATAGGGAAACCAAACCCTTCATTTATGAACTTACCAAGCATATCTCACCTAAATCAGGAAATGAAAATTTTTTATTTAAAAAAAACATTAAATAGAAAAGAGAATAAATCAATCAAAGATTTTCTAAGATATCACAATCAAATCCTCCAAAATTTGGAGGTGGTGGACAACCCACATGAGAGGTTAATATGGAAAGAGTCGAATCTTCTCAGATTTTCACACTTGTGAACATAGAAAATATTGTAGGGCTTTTTTTCCAACCTTAGTGCAAAATCCTGGAAGTTCAATTGAGCTATTTTTTTTTTTTAATCAAATATTGATGCCAAAGAATTACGCCAAAAGAAGCTAAACTTATCTACTGAATTGCTTGAAGATTGACCTTATCACGAACTTTTCCAATATTTATTGAAGTAAGCTTGATGACTTCTTAAGTACGTGTATGGCTTTGTTGGGTTTGTATGTTTTGGCCATTATTGAAGCGATGCATTGAATCAGTTGCTCCATGCATAGAACTTCTGTGAGAGGGCATTTATGGCATTCATTTTAATTAATGACCAGTCTTGATTGATGATGATTGTAGCAGGAATCCTATAAAATTACACAAATGGCATGAAAAAATGCATAAGAAAAAGTCGATTACATAGATTTGATTAATTTTTTTACCAACAATATAGGGCATGTGCTTATTAATGGAGTCGGCTGGATGATTTTTTTTTTTTGTGCAAGGCCATCAACATTATTCAAGTTTAATGCTATTAGGAGGTGGTGTAAGATCCTATGCTCATTATTGATTATCCTAGATTAATATTTAATATCTATAGTCTATTTCCATTAGGTATCCTTCACACCTCCTGATTTACCTTGTTAATTAATTATGGCAATGTAATGACCGAATTTTGGATGTCAAAGGATAGATGGTCAAACAATATATAAGACTAATTCTTATTATCAATACAATACCTTTAACTTTTTTTCAATCGACATTTTTATGGAGATCAGAATGATCATTAAGGTGGGACTGCTCTGCTATTTTGGCAATGTGGTTGACACATCCTTAACCTGGAGAGGAGTACGTGGTATATGACTACAAAAAGAAGAGTTATTGGAGTGGAAGGGTTAGAAGAGGGATTAATAATGTATGAAGTGAATTCATAAAAAAGAATGAAATCCATATTTAAATGCTTTGAGAGGCAAGGTCATAACAATGATATCATTATTGGGAAAAACAATATCACATAAAGATGTATTAAATGGTCCAATGGGAAAGTTTCTTATGAGCACAAAAGGATAAGTTAAACTAGAGGCTGCCAAAAAGTTTAGGGAGAAGAGAAAAGGAAAATTGCTTAGGACATAATATATTGATAGGTGATATTAAAAAGAATAGTTAATTGATGTCAATTCAGAAGATACTAGATAGTCATTATAGCATCACTTCCAAATAGTCATGGAACATTCATATGGAACCTCACAATTTGAGATGCACATAAATGCATTTGCTCGAGTTTGACAACCATATTTTGTTCAAACAAGAGCACAATTTTTTGTGAATGATTCTCTTAAAGGATTAAGGATTAGCATGCAATTTTAACCATTAGCAAGTGAGAATTTTGCATTTTTTACTCAGTTTAGATAGTTTATTTTCTAGTAAATTCTTGGTCTTTATGCCCGGATGGCACTATAGGATACCTTTACTTTGACACGTACAATTGAATCACATGCACTTTTTTTCTAACAACTCTTTTTTTTTTGCTTTGACTTTGGGAAATAAAATGTAAAATGCAAATTTTCCAGAAAGTAATTAAGGATTACAGGAAATTCAAGAACATATGATATATTTATCGGAGAGAACCACTTAAAAAGGGCCAAAACCTTTCTACATGATAGGATAGGGGGAGCCATTAACAATGTTGATAGATGAGTTTAGGACATTTTTGTAGAGGAAAATATGTTTGCATTTACTTTACGCAAAGATGCACCGGTTCAAGAATCCATGATGTATCAAAAGATGAAACAAAGTAGAGCTTTATTAGAAAATTACATAAGAGGTTGAATCAAATGTCTAAGTTTGGTTAAGAAGATTGCTATAATTTTGTTGAGATAATATGACAAATCTTGAAGAAATGTTCACGATGGAAGTGTCATTAGTTATAAAAGAGGTAAAGACTTAATGAGTTGTTGAGGAGTAACCAAATTTAGTCTAACACCATTTCGAGAGATGATTACTGCATCTAAAATTAGAATTAGAGGGCTTTGGCTCCACGACCATGTATACCATTTGAGCTGGCCAACATAGCTACTATGATGCTTTGTAGCAAGGACGTAATGTTCATACGGTAATTGAGAGGAGTTGAGAACTCGCTAAACCAAAAAAACTTGCGAGAGAGCAATGGCAATGTTGGGAATTGTAGAATCAATGAACATTTGTGATTGCAAATGTAGGAGGGAATGATAAAACTAGAAGTGAAATTTGGCAAGAAAAAATTTCTTATTATGTTTGTTGAAGTGTCTAATCAACTGTAAAGGCCTTATATTGTTGATGTTCATCTCATTTTCCAGTAAGATACTCTTGAATTCCTGGAGAGTTGAATCATGTTGTTGAAGAGAAAGGTCTTCAATTCTGATGGTATAGATGTGTTAAATGCTATTTTATTGAGAATAAGTTGAATGGTGCAAGTACACTTCTTTTTATAGTATCTTGAATCATGATGGCTGATGCAAGCTGATTAGAAAGATTAATGGTTATCTTGAGTCAAAGGGGATGCATCACGATTTTGATATTTGTCATTTGACCTTTGAAGGAAATGAACATTCTTTGCTATAGAAGATAATTGTTATTATTAAGTTAAATGGTAAAAATTAATAGTGGAGGGTTTTAGCTCATGGAGAATATTGAAATACCGTAATAAGAGATATGCATATGAGCTAAGTGGAATCATGTCACAGAGGTGGGTAAGATTTAGAGTGGCATATTGGAAGTGAAGGCAGGTTGCAAAGATGTTTACATGTGTTTGGTAGGGAACTAATTGGGCTTAATGATTGTGAGTTAAGGTGAGGAATCTCATGTTACATGCATACAGGATGCTGAGGGATAGTGCATTGTCTCTTCTTGAATCTAGAGAATGATTCATAACATTAAAGGGAGCCAAGTGAAGACATTATTGAGCGAGTACTATCTGTCATGGGCACACCTATGCAAAATAATGAATGAGTGCATGAAATACAATAGTGGACAAACATGAAAAAATAGTGAGCGATAAAGCGATGGGGGAATGGAAAAGGATAGGGTGAGCATGTGTGACACAATCGTAGGTGAGCAGTCAATCAAAGTGATTGAATTGAGCATGTTGGCAAGGGTTGATTAGAACCAGAGAGAGTGGGATGGGATAAAAGATATGGTTTTATTACCCTGACTCTGACACCATATTGAATTTAAAATAATTTTCTATATCTTGTATTGATGAACAAGGCCGCCTATATATAGGTAAATAGGGTGATTATAATAGGCAAATAATAAAATATAAGATATCCTCAATTAAGATTTTAAAACCATAAGCATAATTAAAGCATGTCTATAGTACTATTTTCATTTTCATACTTTCTAAAAAAGATGGCACCTGACCAATTGAGCACGTAGGATCATTCAAGAGGGCATATGTGACATGTTGGTGGAAAAGAAAATTGAACTATTAGAGTGATGGAGAGTCAACAAGAAATTGCAATAGTTGCAACCAAGTAAAATAAGAAAAAGCGAGATGGGACGTCGTCATCGGACCGGTTATTACTTACCTTTGTAGATCCTACCATATTTGAAATTTTTGGGGCCGAACATGTTAGGATTATTTATCTAATAAATGTGGTATCATTTATATATGCACACACACACACACACACACACACACACACAGGGGCCAGTTAGAGGTTCCAGCTTAACCAAAATGCAACTTACACAAAATAAAACTTAAGGAACCTCCACCGAGCATTCAACTCACGCAAAAAAAACCACCGTAAAATACAACACCAAAATCAAAAGAGGTTCTAATAAACAAGATGCTGCGTAAATCAACAAAGATAAAAGCAACACCCTGTGGAGGTGGGTAGATATCAAGACGAACATAGCTCGTTGGCATAATGTCTTCTCTGTAACAGTGAGACCACCTAACTTGAAAACGGTCAGTTTCCAAAATCAGCCTGCACACACCAACTCGATCAAACACCAGTAAGTTATAAAGCACTGCAAGAATTTTAGAGTATAGAGCAGAAATATATATATATATATATATATATATATATATATATTTTTTT